TAGTATTTGAGTATGCATGTTTTTATGAGTATATCGTATGTGCTATATCTTACACTAACTATAATGTATTGTATGACCAACAAACTTTTGATAAATAGAGACCTGAGGCCTATCAAAATAACGATGTGAATTTTGCGTCGAATCTGGGACATTTACAAATGGTTATACCACTGAGCTACATTTTGGATATAATAAAATTATTCACTTCTAGTTATACTACGTACAGTAAATTAAACTGTTTTAGAATTATTACGCTACACTTACGTTTGCTAGAAACTAGTGAGTAATCCTGTTACCTCTAATCAGATTAGGAAATGTTAATATGTTTTAACGGAAAATTAAAGCCGACCCCTATTAACCCCCCCCCCTTCCCTACTTTAACACCCTGCTAAGTGTTTTTATAATTGAACAATAATAAAAGCAAAAGAAAACATAATAAAAATAAATACGTTACAATATGCATTACATTTTCTTAGTCTGGTGGTTAAATTTCTAGTCTCCATAAATTTTACAATTAAATTGTTTTTATTATAATAAATAAATTAACGCTTCTATAATAAAATATATAAGATTATTAGAATGTTATATCACTTTTGTGTCTATTTTTGGCCAAGGAGGTTATATAGAATGAACATTCGCTTCTCGACAAAACCTCCATAGCTGTCAGATGAGACCAGTTACGATCCTGACGTATCGCCATTTTGTATCGTCATAATCATAAAATTCACGCGGCATAGATGATTAAATTAATATTTTCCCGGACTTCGAATCTAGGTCCGTATAAGTGTTAAATATTGAGCCAAGAAGGCTCGTAGTTATGTAAACACGATTATAGTATTATTGTGGTAAAATGGTACATTATCTTTAGGTTGAATATGGCTTGGCAAAGAGAAACTAATTAACAAACTATTACACTTATAATGCGAAAAAGTTACGAAACTTACACACAACTTTGAACTTTAATAAGAAATACTACAGTTTGTAGAAGCAGTCAGTAATAGATCACATTTTTTATATAATATATATAGATTGAAATTTGACAAGCAATGAGGACGCTTTATAAGTTACGGATTAAAATGCGAAAGAAAAGTTACTCTTGATGCTTTTCAACACTGAAAGCGTGGGATAGTATTTAGCGTTTCAGTTAGGGCCTAACTGAATAACAAAAATACGTAAATTCAAATAGTACTGTAAAACATAGAAAAGTGACCTCCCCCTACGCGGAATCGCGAATTTACACAAAATAATGTGCACATTTTCCGGGAAAAATCCCGAATTCCCGGCGGAAATAGTGGAAATACCGTAACTAGTACAGATACACTACACAAAATTCTAGTGGGACATTTATTTCCACGTCCACATTTCTGAAGCGTTTCTGACTTACTTTGTTAAGATGTTAGCCTACGGCGCCATTTTCCGTTATAACAATCATAAAACAGGTTGACGCCCACTGGAAAATTACTTTTCCACACCCCCTTCTGACGAATGGAAAATAACGGAAATTTGAAGTAAATAATAAAGGGGTCGTTAATCATTGGTGTTTTGTATTGTGCAGAAAATCGGGAAATGGTTGGTAGAATATAGAGATTTCGCCGGGTCACGAACCAACACCGACCGGCGGGAGTGCCGTGAAGTGTTAATTTGCGTTTTGGCTTGAGAAGTCGGAATTTCCAACGCCTACATAGGCTAACAGCACATCTAAATTAAATACCACATAAATCCGATGCCTGACTATCCTCATTTGTCATAATATGTAATGCAGACTTGCAATATGTAGCTAAATAAAGCCATTTAAAGAAAACATTTTTAATTAAACATTAAGACGCGAAAAATATTTGTTAAAATAAATTGATATTTCACATTTTAATGGATTTTTTTCGCGTAAACAGCCTTAACATTTAAATAAAGCCGTTTCAAACATTTCATTGTCAGGTGGCCCTGTTATTAAAGCTTTAGGCCGTTTACAGTCTTGCTTGTTAATAAACACTTTAACAGACACTAAAGTGTGACTGTCAAACAAAACCACAATATGGCTTTAATTTAGACACAGGGAGAGGAACTGAAACATTGTATTAAAGATGATTATTTTTCTATACCACTGTTCACTTTTTTAAAGGAATTAAATTACAAGTATTTCTTTAACTATATCACACAAAATAACCACATTTTAATGCAAAATTAATGTAATATATTTCCAAATCAAAATTCAATTTCTATCGAAATTAATTTGGCAACTTCGACCTAATCGCGGTGTTGCATGTTTGATAGCACAGTACTTAATTGGAATTCGCTGATTCCAAGTTAGTATTTACATATCAAATTGATTGTCATGTTATGTAGTAAATAATATAAGCGTTAGACCCTGTTAGCTGTAATTGAATTTGTATGTGCTATACATACTAGTTTGAATGCCAAGTAAGGCCGAATAAAAAAGTAAAAGCCCGTGTCCCCAACGCGCAAGGGATACATGTGGGAAACTTTGTCATTAGTTAATTGTGACGCAAGAGGTAATATTGTAAAATATGGAGGTTTACAGGACGAGTGGATTAGAAGTGTTAATTTGTGTTCCGGTTTTAGTTTATGGATTTCGGAATATGCAAAGTATGTATACATCGCGTCTTAATTGTACGTTAGGCTTTACTCTCCTTCCATGGCTAAATTAATAAAAGATTTTATATTATGAAAAATAATGTTTCACCTTGATAATCGCAAAAGAAAAGACAATTTTGTTTGCAAAATAATTAAAAGCGATATAGCAATACAAATATTATTATTAATAATAATAAATATAATTTTGGCACTACTATAATCACAGTATTAATATTCAATTTTTCATATTATATCATACATATTTTAAGTAACTTACGCGGATTTTAATTATTATTATAATGGTATAAAAAATAGGACCAATTTTGTATCCGTTTCTAAGAATTTATTTAGTCCTTATACGGAGTGTACAATAGGTTATTTTAATCGTCAGTCCCGGTTCAGCTCTGAAAAAGTAGCGGTTCAACCCACCACTATTACTAGATCGGAGTGGTGGATAACGTAACTGTTCCTCTAAAACGTTATGTACTTGCCCAGCAGTAAGACTTTAAGTTTTAACATATTAACCATAGACAAGATTTTATTTCATTGACAGAGTCTTTGACATAAAACCCGCGCAAGTTAATTTAGTTGTTAAGTCAAAATACTTATCGAATGTCAATATCTTAAAATAGGTTAATTTACTTTATATTCGTATGTATGCCATTAAATCATGCTAATGAAATGATATTAGACATATCATTATGTTTAATATACGTATTTAATTATATTAATAGATGCATTACTTTAATATACGATTTGTTATTTACATAGGATAGTGTTTTTACTACACGACTCGTTCATTATGAAACCTCTAACAGATTAATATTAACTTAAGTCGTATACGTAAAAATGTATATTATTGTTATAAATGAGATGTCTCCAGTTATGTATGACTATATGATATATGTTACAATAATATATACACATATAATATGATAAACGTTTCACTTTTCCTTTGATCTGAGCGTCCTTACTGTACGTTATATATACATGTATCTTAAAACTATGATATTTTTATTATAAAATTGAAAACTGATATGGGTAGTTATATATATGAGAATTTAAGCTTCAGAAAAGCTTTTCTAAAACATAATATTAAGTAGCAATAAATTATTAAGTTAACTTATATGAATAAATAGATGATATATTTGCAATATTTGTATGGACGGAGAAAAAAAATCTGACGATCGGGCATTACGACAAGATTGTAGAACGATTTAGTTCAAACTGTACGCATAAATTAGTTATAAGGATGTAGAAGGGATCATTTTGGTTAGCCGCTAACAAGGGACATTTAAGATTAGCTTAATAAAAATAAGTATCAGCAAATTTTAATTCTTGTTTAAAGAATATTATTATAAATAATTATATGTGTTTAACTTGCTTTACCTCATGCAATATATAAGTATACAGATTATTTCTACTATTACTCGCTAAAATATGATTATAGTATTCCTTAAGTTTACCTAATTCTAATGATCTGGATTCAAATATGATGTTTAACGAAAGGATTGCAAAAAAGCAATAAAAAGCTTAAATGTTGGTTCTTACACATTAATATTTAAAGTCTACGGTAATTCATTACCATTATTACTCATATATAGACATCTTAGAACGATTCAGCTTCAGTAAATTTACAATCCTTATCCTAAAGTAAATAGACATATATCAAGTCTTACAGACTCTCCTAATATACCCCTCGCTTAACACCTATCAAGAAAATCTACTGAAATTCGTGAGCTTCAAAGTTTACACATAATACTAATGTTTGAAATACCGAAAAATTCTAGCGGTAGAAAAATATAGTTTTTTTTTTTTTAATAAAAATTGGATAGCTCTAACTAACGATAAATAGAGACAATGTTGGATCCAGTCACTAAAATATACACTTGACGTCTTTAACGAATAGGAGACGCTTAAAGCGTACAGGTTTATTCTGACGCTATGAATAGTTGACATTTCCAGATATTATTAAATGAAATACTCACTTGTATTGTGCGCTGCAGCTGAAGACCCGGAAAACATATTTTGGTGACAGTGAATACATATTTATGTTCTCGTATCTCCACTCGTGATATGTACAATAAATCACAGCGAGCTACAAATAATGCTAAACAGTAAATTGTTAAGACAATACAGATTGCATACGGAGACGGCGATTAATCAAGTGTAAATCTTTATGCCTGGAACCACTAGTGGAGAAATAGTTTTACTCGTGAAGACCGATTCAAACGTCCGTTAGTTTACACCAAATCGTCTTCGTCGTATCACATGACTTCCCTGGAGATATGCTGTAGATGCGTCGGGAGATAGCGGAGTGGAGCGGAATCGGTCGACCCGGAACGAGTCGGGGGGGACTCGAAGGAGACGCGTAAGGCTCGTCTCTGTACGGCGGGTGTGGGGGCACGCTGTTAGCTGCCCTTCATCACCAGGTGGTAGGGGGCGTGGATGGTAGCGACGCTGCCGAGGTCGGTTTGCCCGAGCAGTTCTTCGGGGTGCTCGTGGGCATGCTCCCTACGCTTTTCTTCGTTCGTGTAGTAGTGTGCAGTGCGACGCCTCGTGCAGCACAAGGCAGCAGCGATAGCTGCGAACACAGCGACGCATAGCAACATCAAACCTGCTATCACGCTCATCTGAGCTTCGTGAGTCCCGAGACAAGGTTCCAATTTATCGAAATCCAATTCGCCAAATGTGACACTGTGAAGACGCAGCGGGGAGTGGCATGTGAGATGCCGTATGCTCGAATTCAACACCGTCGTCGACATGTAAGCCAGCATAGTACCCACGGAACAATGATCGCAGCGCCAATGGTTCCTCGATAAATCCACATAAGCTATGGCTTCTAGTCGTTGAAGATCGTCTTCATTCAGAGTATACATTTTATTTCGGGAGATGTCCAATTTTTGCAAGAATTTCGTCCTGGTCAGTAATTTGTATGGGAATTTCGTTAATTTATTCCAAGATATATCCAAGGAGACCAAATGTTCATTGTAAATGAAAAAATTTGGGGGCATCTCGGGCAGCGATAAGTTGGCGAGAGAAACGCTGTGAATCTCAGGTAGGATTTGGAGGACAAGCGCTATTTCGTTTAGAGGTAAATTATTACCACTGAAATTGATCGTTTTCAGTGAATCGACAACAGGTGCAAAGGTTTGGAGGTGGAACCTGTCTATTTTATTGTGGCTTATGTCCAGGTGCATCAGGTTGGTGACGTTAGTGAGTGAGGCTGGCGCCAGCAAGGCTAGACGGTTGCGTGCTAAGTTCAGCACGCGCAATTCCCTATTCCTGCCGAACATATTATCCACAATAACTGACAATTGATTTCCGTCGAGCTTCAGCTTCTTCAATTTTTTCAGGCTGATAAATTCGTCCGACGTCAAATATTTAAATTGGTTTTCGCCCAAATCCAATTCCTCTAAATGCGGCACGAGGTGGTATATTTGTGTGTTCACCCTCCGCAAAAGACATCGTCGACATTTAAAGAACCTCAAATGTTGTATGTCTTTAAACACTTCGGGGTTTAAATCCGCTAAAGGATTATCGCTTAGATCCAAGTGAGATAACTTTGCGAGCATGCGAAAGAGGCGAGGGACTAATGTTGATATTTGATTTTGCGAGAGGATCAACGTCCGCAGGGCGGTGAGGTGGCGGAACGTCTCGCTCGGCATCTGCTCGATGTTATTATGATCGAGGTATAATTCCGTTAAATTTATGAGACCGCGGAAATTGTCTGCACCGATGCTCGTAAGGTTGTTATGAGTGAGATTTAATATGCGGAGATGCTGGAGGCCCCAGAAGGAGTATTGTCCTATGGAGGGCACATTGGAGTTGACGATGTGGAGTTCTCGAAGGTCAGCGAAAGGCGACGGCTGAGTGAAGATGGGTCCGATCGTCAGGTAATTGGGGTGTTCGGGTGGGGGTGCGATGATGATGACGTTCGCGCTTCGGTCTAGTTGGTCGACTGGTATTGCGGTCTGGTCACCACGTGTACATACGACACGAAGCTCTCTCGCAGCCTCGCGGCTGGCCACGGTTCGGCACGAACATTCGGACGGGCAACTCATCTCTGCGGCGCCGGTGGTCGTCGCTGTACTGAGGCAACATACTAACAGCAGTATCCTCCTGAAACAAAAACGAAGAAAAACTTACGTTAAATCGTGTCGTGAAGAAAAACTAAATAAGAATTAAGTAAACTCTTACTGAAAGTGGATTTTGGTGTGTAATTAGTATATATTTTATTCCATTTTTAGACAAATATGTGTTTGCATTGGTTGCGCCAAATTGGAATAAATAAATCATATATTTTTTAAGTCTATTATTAGATTGACTCTAATAGTTCATTATATACATGCAAAATCTACTTTTTCATAATAATGATGTATACGTATAATTTCAATTCCGTTTCGCAAGCTTTGTACTACTAAACTACAACTTGGTCGCATTTCGCATGACGTTTCATAAAATGTTGACCCAAAAATCACATACTTCACAAGTTCAACCCGGCTTTGACCCTCTTAAGCGCATCAAAGACAATGAAAAAACTTATTTTTCACGTAATATTTTGCTTTTTATTACTGGACAATATATAAACGATAGCCCGGATTCAGTATTTCTAGAAAATTCTGGTTGCTTCGTTAAAATATTTTCCCCATTAAGAAATAAAATCAAATAGGTGAGTCCCCAGCAACTCCTTAGCTCTATCTTCTCTCATATAATTATAATGTAACGCCCAGGTTAATACCACGGGGGCACTTAAATGAGGTATTAATATTTTGCTTAATAGCGTCCACTATTTTAATGAAGGTTTATAATAGCGGCGTAAAGTGTAAATCAGTTTTACTGTAAATGGGACATGGGGCTGGGGACACATGTTTTGCTCAGAGATCCGTACCATTTATAAATACATACAAAATTGGTCACTTTCTTCTGGCCAATTTATAGATATTTTGGGGAATCAAAGCTTAGACCTTAGGTCGATAAACACCTTAAGTAAACGAAACGTAATATATACCTTTAATTATTTATCCATTATTAAATTTATACATGGCTGGCTTTCTGAAACGATTTTTTACGGTACAAATACAATGTGGTACACTTATCCAGCCTAATTCCTTACCTTGCCTAAGTGATGGAGGCTCTGAGTTCGAATCTTTTAAAACACATTACAATGTTTTAGTTGGGCAGAAACGGAAATAAAAATACGTATAGCCTTATGCGCCACATTGGCGAAGGTTCGACTATATAAGTTAAAATTACCCGTTTCGAAGTCGGTTAAAACGTTTCAAATAGAAAGCTAGAAGGAAAACCCTTAAAGGTCAGCCAAGCTGCACAGTCAGCTGTTCTTAATAGTACATACGCTTCAAAGAGGAAAATTGTACAGAACTACGCAACGTCTAAAAAACGGGGTTAATACGCTATAATATAATTTTTGCGTACATTTTTTAAATGCGTCGCGGTGTTTTTTAAGTGGAAATGCGAACATTCTTAAGGTGTGCATGATTTATTATAATAAATCCTATATGTTTAATTACGCCGCCCGCCGGACTGAATAACTTAATATTATAAAGCTAGACTTTGTTGGAAAGCGCTAATCTCCGGAACTACTAGTTCGTTTCGTTTCGAAAGACCATTTATCGAAGAAGAAATTAAGCTATATAGCACGCTGCGACCAATAAGAGCAAAGAAACAGTGAAAGAAACGGAGAAAATTATTCACCTTGGGGACTTCTATTGCGTGCGCTGCGAGAACGGTTCAAGAAACGAAAAATATATACGAAAGAATGATCGACAAAAAAAAGCCTTTCGTTCAAGATCAAATCGCAAGAACGACAGAACGCGGACGATGTCGCGCGTAACAGCTATAATTTATAAAGCTTAGGAAAACTACTGACCGACTACTGACTACTGATTTAGAGCTTAATAATGGTCAGACTACTTTTCTACTATATACTAGGCACTGTGTTTAACCACTAAACCACGGAGATAGATAAACAGTTGTATTCAATAAGGAATATGATCGCTTCGATATCTGTCAAAACGAAACCGTTATGGCATTTTAGCATCAGAAATTGCTGTATAATCCGAATGGAATAAATCAGCCAGAATTAATGCGCAAAAAAAGTTAAAACCCCGCGTAAAGAGGCGAGATTATCGTCTTGAAATATGCCTCCGCTTTGTTCCCAAATCCAAACACCATGAAAAATAACTGACAGATAACGAAAGGATTTCACGGCCTTTTGTGCAAACAAAATTAGCAATATTGGTTTAGTGCTATGCGTAGATTCCAACTGTAGTACTATTCGTGATAAATAAGCACTGTAATTACACGCCAGTAATACACATTTAAATGTGGAGTTTATTATTTAAAATAACTTCTAATTAAATTTATCTAATACAACTATAATAAAATATATAATAACAAGCATTTTAAACCGTTAAAAGTGTTTTATTTAAGTGGGGAGAAATAGATAATCATGTTTAACACCTGCTCATCTGATAAAACTGTTTCGAGTTTTATATAAATTCCTATTTTAGTGCATATGGCAAGGCCTATCTATGATTCTAAGGGGAAAGATAATTATGCCGTTAGTGTATTATAATACGTTACTATGTATTCAATGCATGTAAGTAAATGTGGACTGTAGAGTCTCATCAATTTTGCACGCAATTACTTGCAGTAAAGGATCGGGCAACACCAGCTTAACGATGAAAAAATATATGGCGGAAAAATCCAATTCCCAAAATATTCACCCGATGTAATCATCCAAAATTTGTGAAGGTCATTGGCGATGCTTAAAAATACTGTATGTTATATGTTCTTCCTTAAATATATATGAGGCCGCTAGAGGCGGAGTAGCCTAACTGTACTTTTTTACTTAAGTTATGCATCATTTTATCGTCTAAAAAAGGAAAAAAAAAAAATTTTTAAAAAACAACAAATTTTTTCGTTTCCATGATTTAATTTAGTTATTAGGCCACACTGTGGCTAATGGCCTCATATATGTATTAATGTATTTCTAGGTATATTTAAAAAATATATGGTCTATCTTTCCGGTAATTACATAGTTAAATTACGGTTTTATAGACTTTTCTCGTTGTTACTAAAGACTCAGTTTAAGCTACTGTAGGATACAGTGTGGGAACGAATCAGTGCCGTGCGTTTGAAAATTTTACTTTCAGAGATTTTCAATGGATGTAAGTAAGTGTAAATAAAAATCAAAGAGTGATATCAGCATATTGAAATTATTTATTCGAATCGTTCTAGCGATTAAAAGCTGTAATCATGATAAAATAATGCATCCCATACAATTTCGCAACATTAATAACGCGGTGGAGAAGTTAAAATCGTTGCTGTGATTAATAGTTCTAGTTAGAACGCAACGTTATAAAGTAACTTTAGGCTATGACCTAGATAGAATAGCGTTGATAACTAATAAATATCGAACGAATGTATTTGGTATTGTCTCTACTTTACGCGGGTAGAACAACATGATCGACACCTCATAATAACGTATTTTTAACGGATTCCATTTTTGAAATCTTCCAAAATAAATTACACTTATGCCAAGAGGTATTTACGAAGAGTCCGCGAACAGTCCTTAACCAAAATTTAGGCAAACTGTTTAACCCGAGCCACTCAACTTAATGTTGATTTAGTTCCGTCGATCCCTAATAGATCCGCAGTAATGACAGGCAGCATTGTGGGCCGTGAAATTTGTTCTAATCAAATCTTGTTTGTAGCCAATCAACGAAACCTAATTACGACGTCCACGAGCGATTTGTCGGCAAGAGGTCAATTCGGATAAGCACATTTCATTTTTACGTGTTTATGGTAACTACGAAAAGTTCTTGATCATTTTATATATTGTATAACATGCACTTGCGTCGCGATACTTTACTAAAATTATCTTTTTATTTCTTATTTCTTATTTCTACATGCAAAGGTTGCCTGGAAGAAATCGCATAAGGCCGCCTTTGCACAAACATGTTTTATTTTGTATGTATAATTCTAAGTATATGTATGTTCTTATGTCTATGTTTGTGCAATAAAGAGTTTTTATTATTATTATTACATTAGATTAATTATATCCAAATTATTTTTAAAACCTTTTTTGCTCTTATTTTTTTAAACGTTAAACACTGTAATTTCATCATAAGCGATTTCTTAAGCTACAAGTTACGATTGAAATTACATTGCGCTAAAGTTGCATATAGCAATGAAATAAATGATGGAAAATCTATGAAGACGAATAAGATCCGGTAGCTCAACTGGTTACAGTAGCAGCATGAATCGCTGTGGACACTGATTTAAGTCCCGCCCATGACAAAGTCATTCGATTTAATTATATTTTTAATGTTTATTGAAAGATACATCAACAATATGTATTTCACCGTTTTTATCTATATTAGAGATAAAAGAAATTAATAAGCATTCCTCAAAAACAGGTTTTGTTGGCTTAATGCTCTCTGCGAAATTTAAAAATAGTATTTGGAATTTGTCTACTATAACCTGGAGTTTTAAAATCGAACGGAAAATCTCACACGAGACAAGTGCTTTGAGTCTTAGCTCTATACCGTATCACGAAACTTGAAATGTCACAATATGTCCCAACCTAAGTGAGTAGGTTGCTTGAAATGGGAAACTGGTAATCGTTTCCCGCACGCATACATTGTCGACTGAACGACGACTAATGGCTTAGTTCATAATTTCGTGCATCTCTCTACCATCGGAATGAATGACATAAGACTAATGTAACAGTACCTATGCAAATTGCTTCGCTTCGTCGTCTTTTTGCGAGCTTTTGGAGCGATTTCAAAAGCACATTGTTGAGTATAACATTTTTTAGTTTTTCACATTTTTAGCGGCCTCTCTTAATTATGCGGCTCTGGGCTTTTATCTTGCCTGCTGCGCGGCCCTTGACTTACCTGTTTACTTTAATTTGTGGGGCATGGAGAATTTTATGTCTGTGTCCTTTTTACTGATCGATTTCATTTACAGCCAAGTCGATGAGACTTCTGTGCCCTGCCCGATCGAAACATTCAGGACAACGCATTCAACCACTGAG